ATCACCAGCAGCAGCCGCATCTTCCTCCGGCCGTCTCATGTGCAAATCAACAAAAGCCGCCTGCACCGGCACCAAGTCCCTCCGTTTCTCTGGATATTTCTTGCAGTCTTCAAGCTCGCCGTCGTACTTGTCCTCTGCCTGCCATTTTGTCAAGTATGGCAAGGACTGCAAGTCGATCTTTGGAAACGGAGCTTCTCGAAAGTGCAGAGGCAGTAATCCGGCACATGAGCTCATCAAAGACTCCACAGCTAACAACGTCTGCTGTTGCCACCTGCGGAGCAAGGACTTGGCCTCGGAAGTTTCTCGTCGCAGCACTCCCTTCAACCATGCCTGCGACATGCGGTTCACAAAGTGGAGGACGATGTGGGGATGACACGCAAGACGGGCTTGCTCTTCGATCGGGCCATGCAAATGTGCAATGGCAGCAAACGATCCTCCAGTAAAGCTGGCAATGCAGCCATCTGGGAACTCAACTCCATTCTTGGTTCCATTGGCTCGGAGTTGAGGATCGAAAGCTGCAATGCCAAGCACATGCTGCAGAAAGAGTCGCATGGACAATATGAAGAAGCGAGCTTGTGCCACTGGATTCTCGGCAAGCATTTCTAACATGCGCGATGCCGTTGGCATGGATGGATTTTCATCGAGCAAAGAGACCTGAAACTTTTCAGTCTCTCCCTCCTTTGTAAATCCACCATTTGGATGTGCAACGCATCCGGCATGCAGAACTACAACCAATGGATTGCGCGTGTCAGCAACGTTGGGAGTGAGAAAACCTCCGATGCCACCAAACCTCAGTTGCGACATGTCTCACATTCATAAACGTTTATATATCCTGAAGCGACGTGACGTTATTCTATTTTCAAAGTTTTCTTGTGTTGCTTTTGTTGCCCAACCGAACTGTATACCCGATTGCTTCAAGGTGCATCATGAATTTCAATGTCTATTGAAATATATGATAGCTCTCGTATGACTCTGATGGCACTGCCTGAAAATTGCGAACACTTCTTTTTTCCAAAACTTATACCCTTTAACATTCCAAGCAACATCAGCATAGCACCGTTCTGTTCGTGCCGCAACTGTTGCCTGGCTCCGTCTGTGCCCACCACTTCAGAGGAGAAGAAAAGGAGCTGAGATAATGCATCTCGAATGTTTGCATCCACCACCGATGACCGCATCACATCGCCCAGATTGGCATTCTCTCCAAGAGCCGCCACAGCTGCCCGCAATCTTTCAGACGTGCACTGCAAAACGGCTTGTAAAGATTGCTTGAACTTTTTGCGTTTCACATGTGCCGAAGCCAGGCGCACCATTTCCATTCTCTTCCAAGTGTCACACGCAACAGACAAAAAATTCAACTCACCAGCCCACCGCGGTATCGCAGGGGGTTGGAAACGGCTCGTTTCTTCTCGAACACATCGTCTTTTCACATTTTCATCATGATCATCAGTGTCACGTCCAGTGCCGGCACTATCCTCTCCAGCAGCAGCTACTTCATATTCCAGTTCTGCACGCTCAAACAAATATGCCGCCCACTCTCGGAACGTCAGAGGAGTATCACGAACAATGCCATAGACACCATCACCATAAGGAAACATCTCTGGGAAACATTTCTGCCAGTATTCGGGACTGTACATACTCAAAGGAACCGTTCCAGTATGCACCACCTGCACACTTTTCCGACCATCGACCGACGCCTGGACACCTTCGGCGTGATCCATCTGGGCTACAAGCTTGTTCAGTTTGTCCTGCAGTTGTGCTGCTGACATGGACTCTGCCAACCTTCGAAAACTGTCCATGTCCTGGTCGAAGGTTTGACCACCACTGCTGCCGCGGCGGCTCATCAACAACTTCAATTTGGCCGCAAATTCCTTCAAGACACGCTCCACATCAAGATCATCCGAACCAACTTCTCCCGCCACACAACGCAGACCCGGCATGTCTTCTCCTTCCAGAATATGCTCGTGCGTAGTTCCATCGATCTCTTCTACGTCGTCTGCTTCCACTTCAGCTTCTGGCGCCGGCTCTGCGCAGCCAGAAGCCGCCGGATCCTGATCCACTCCAACATCAGCCGGACCACTGAGTTTCATGGGCATGGTTCCAGTCACATCAACAGCGGTCGCCTGCGAGCGTATAGCCGCGCAGCTCCCACCGACTTCCACAAATTGCGCCTCTGCCTGTGCTTCGTCCACATGAAGATGCCTATAAGCCACATTGTGAGCAACCAAATATCGTGCCGCTGCCAAATAAGCATCACGAGGAACTTCGGCCCACTGCGCTCGATCGAGATCCTCCAGGCCACATAAAATTGTTGAACAAAAACAAAATCATTATTTACATCCCATTCCAACCGCTCAGTCGGTCATGGTGCACAACATTTACAACATGATTCCACCCAAACACAAAAGATCAAAACACACGCACCTGCCTCCGGTGTGCAACCCACAAGAGCAATGCTGATAGTCTGCGATAGAAAGCGCTGCGCTTCGGCAGGGAGCGGCGGCAAATGCGCCGTCGCTAACTCATGCAATTGCGCTTGCGGGAATGCAATGGTATTGGCTCGGATACCCTTCTGTTTCTCTTTCACAGGACGAGTCTTGTGAGGTTCGGCAATAATTTTCTGCACAACTGGTCGACCCAAAGACAAGAGAAGAAATGTCATCGGAGACAGAGGCCTACCTTGATGCCTGAACACATGCGGATAGCGGCCGATCCATAATGAGTTGGCGAGAGCATATTTCGGCATGCGAGGCTGCTTTCCCGTGACGGCGCGAACACAGTCGGTACACCCAAAAGACACCGTCGCACTCGTCACTACCTCTGGCAAGACTTTGGTATTCAGCAACCACTTCCAGGAACCACCATCTTCATAAGTACCAGAAGGATGCGAGACACAACTGCCCAACAATTCACTCTTTGGAATGCTTGGCCAAAGCTTTTCATACCTGCGAACATCAAAGACTTTGCGATGCAGCAAATGCACTTTCTGCTTCGACACTTCATGGACCCGCCAGCCATGCTTCTTCTTCTCTTCATCATCAGAGTCACTGTCATCATCTGATCTCACGTCGGGGCCATCGCCACCTGACTCATCCACAGCTGCTTTCTCAGCATCAACGAACAGCTTCAAGCGCTCCATATCTTCCAGCCAACAAGAACGAGCGCAGATCACGCAACTCTCCAACTTGCGCTCCCTGGCTTCTTGAGCCTTTCGTGAATGAGTCTGATGAAAAGCATAGCATCCGACTCCTCGTCGGCCTTGCTCACCGGGCACAGGAAAAGGTCCAGCATGTTCTTCATGAAAAACCATACGCTTTCCGTACTCTTCCTCACAGCGTCCCAGCTCGTGCGCGGAGGCACCATCTGGCGCCGGCAAGTGTTCGTCGCGCAGGTGCTTCAAAAAGTCCAGGTGGTTGTCACAATTGAAGCTGCACAACTCACAAGCAATCATGCCGCCAGCTACTGGCGTTCGATAGAAGGTGCGCCGGGTCTCTGCATTCTGCAACTGTCCGCCCGGAATGTAATAATCTTTCACATGCCGGATGGACCAGATTTGCGGAAAATGTTTTTCCCAATGCTCCCGTTCGACAGAACGCATCTTCTGGCTTCCCGGCAAAAAAGTCTTCTGCCTAATGCGGCGAACCTGCTGGGCAAGAGCATCAGTCGGACTCTTGGGTCCTCGAGCAGGAAGCTCTCCTGTATCCAAAAGACATTGTTGCACTGCTTGGAACACAGCGGCATGACGAGGGTTCCACAGAAATGGTCCAAACTCAGGCACCGCTTCCCAAGCAACCAGCTGGGTCTCTTGCAAAGCAGCCGCATAATCGATAATGCGACCTGCTCTGTCCCGTCGCACAGCAGCAAAGCGACGCTTGCGGACTTGCACCAACCCAGCATGCAAACGTTTCTCTTCCGCTGAGCGACCGGCGCCGACAGCAGGAGGCAGGCTACCGGTCCTTGCAACATAGCTTTGCAGCTCAGCACGCAATGCACGGGTATCGTCCAGATCATCCAGCCCATCCAATGAAAGACCTTCCAACTCCTTGCAACCAGCGTCGTAGTGTTTCAGAACCCAAGCAACACAAGCCGCTCTGAACTCTTGCACTGCCGATCCACTGTATCTCTGCACGGCATCTTCTTGCAGTGCAACACATTGATGAAAGAGCTCGACCATTGACACTTCATCCAAAAAAGTCGCCAACCCGCTCTGCATTGCAACATTCCAAGCTTCTCCATTGGCAGTGAAAATGTCACCAAATTGACTCATCAGGTCAGGACTGACTGCTGATGGACATGCAACCACTCGATGCCAGCGCCGAGCAAGAACATCCTCAGCTCGCTTCTTGTCACTATCGACCACTTGCCGCCTCGGCAACCGCTTGGCCGTTGCAAAAAATTCTGAAACAGCCATGCACACCGCCAAGTGAGTATCGTCTGCTTCTCTGTCAGTTGCAGCAAAAATGCGACTGTATGCATCCAACAATGCATCGGAAAGTGATGCTTTCTGCGTCAGCAACCGATCCCAGCGCCGCGCCAGTGCATCTTCTTGTCGCAGCTCCTCTGACACACCATTTTGCCGCGTCGGCAACCGCTGAGCTGTTTCATAGAAATCCGAGACTGCCATGCACACCGCCAAGTGAGTATCGTCTGCTTCTCTGTCAGTTGCAGCAAAAATGCGACTGTATGCATCCAACAATGTGTCGGAAAGTGATGCTTTCTGCGTCAGCAACCGATCCCAGCGCTGCGCCAGTGCATCTTCTCGTCGCAGCTCCTCTGTCACACCATTTTGCCGCCGCGGCAACCGCTGAGCTGTTTCATAGAAATCCGAGACTGCCATGCACACCGCCAAGTGAGTATCGTCTGCTTCTCTGTCAGTTGCAGCAAAAATGCGACTGTATGCGTCCAACAATGCGTCGGAAAGTGATGCTTTCTGCGTCAGCAACCGATCCCAGCGCTGCGCCAGCTTATCCTCTGCTCTCTGCTCATCTGTCTGCACATTCTGCCTGCGAGGAATGCGGCCATGCAAATCATAAAATGTCAAAACATCATCGCAAACATCTCGGCGCCAATCATGCTTCAACAGATGCAGGAGTTTCAGTTTCTTCAATTTCCAATACAAGGAGCGACTGCTACTCAGATCAGCATGCTGCGATGGCATCTCCCCATGCTCTGCAACAAATTGCTCTAGCTCAGCACGAACGATGTCCGCCTTCTCGGCATCCGATTTTTTCTTTGGCGGAAAGAGTGGATAATAATACGATAACCCCAAGAGCAACAACCACACAGGACACCGCCACGACACGGTCCAACCAATCTTTGACAAAATTCCGTTGCAAACCATCATGACCAACATGAATGTGTATCTTTGACACGTCCAGTCGCTCTCTGCATGCAAGCCCAAAAGTCGTGCAAAAACAATCGTCAGACCAAATAACACCTCAGGTGCCCAGCAAAAACAGGAACCATCCAAGAGAAGAAACAAAATCGTTTCAGACTTGACATCCCACTGGCACGCTGTAACTACAGTAACACTATCCAAGAGAACGAACAAAATCGTTGCAGACTTGACATCCCACTTGCACGCTGTAACTACAGTAACATGTCTATAATCACCACTGTGGCGCTGGTGAAAACGACAACAAACACAGCTTCGATAGACGATCCACTTGCAGCATCTGCATGCGGAGACCAGTATTGATGGAATCAACATGCCCAAAATCACTGCCTTATATAAAGCGAAGGCACTGCAACTTCAACAGGGTTTTCTATTCCCAAGCAGTAGTATGGCGCACGTTGCACGAACTCCAGGAGCAGCACCTCTCGCCGCAGCAAACCATGCAGATGTTTCAGCTGCACACAGCGCAGGAAGCTCGGCAGCAGCACCGCAGCAAGGACGCCGAGGAGCGTAGTTAGCGGCAGCAACAGCGCCAACCAGCAGCCGCAAGCCGCGACAAGCCACAGCGCCGCGGCAGCAACATACCGCGCGGCGCGCCCTCGCAAGCTGTTCTGGCGCGCCAGCTTACGCCATTGCAGCGCAGACCGGCGACCCGGCATCTTTGAAAAAATAAGAAAGCTGAAAACAACTCAACCATGACATCTCACCAACCATTTCACCGTCGCTGTCACACTTCATGCCTGAATCAGCAATGCTTCCACACATGCAACATTTGCTTGGATATCTGCTACAAACATTGCAAAACCTCCGTCTTGCACTATCTCTATAACCCCCCTGTCATGAACTGTGACTGCTCGGTCCCCTCTTGCAATTGAACACAGACAAAATGTTTGCTAACGTCGAACTGAAAACACAAAGACCACAGTGCGCCAAATCTGCCTGAGCCCAAACAACAACTTTCCACTTTCAACACATTCGCAGTCTTGCAATATCTTTACAAACACAACTACCACGCGACAGAACATGAGAACCTACTTGGAAACATTCGAAACATTTTGCAGCTCCCCCCATAGACAGGGCGACACCACAAGAAAACGAGAAACATGAGACGAGACATGCGAGCGCAGTAAAACCTCCAATTTGCACAGTTTGAAACATGCCGAAAGGACACGTTTTGCAGCTTCCCCCATAGACACGGCGAGGCCACGGGAAAACCAGAGACTCGAGTGGGAGCACCAAAACGAGCATTTCGTGCGAGACTTCCTCCAATTTTCACACTTTGTAGCTTGCAAATCGACGTTTTCCTACGAGTTTTCCTGAGAACCTCTAAATTTTGCAACCTCAAAATCGATGTTTCGTGCGAGGCTTCCGTCAATTTTCAGCACATGTCACAAAATGCCACGCCTGGCACGGAATTTGCACCTTGTCGCCACTTGACGCAGCCCTGCCAATGCGATTTGCGAAAAGCAGTCAACACGACACGTCTAAAGTGCTGCGCCTGCCACGAAAAATGACGATGGACACGTTTCACTCTGCGTAGCAAGGGTTCCCGTTTCACTCTGGGGGTCTGGGGGTTGAGGGTGTGTTCGCTCGACGTTGCCTCCGCGTCCGCAACCGTCCGCAACCGTCCGCAACCGTTCGTGCGATCCCCGTATGGCCGTGCCTATGGGAAGTTCTGCAGAGGTGGTCATTTTTGGAGGTTTCAGACGTGTCGTTGCTTCGTTTCGCGTGGCAGGCGTGGCACTTTGTGACATTCAGACGTGTTTTGCAACGTGTTGAAAATCGTTTTGCGTGGCAGGCGCAATACTTTTGTGACGTTTTCAGAAGATGTGTTGCAGTTTTCGTGGCAGACGCAGCACTTTGGACGTGTCCATCGTCATTTTTCGTGGCAGGCGCAGCACTTTAGACGTGTCCTGTTGCGTGTTTTCTGCAAATCGCATTGGCAGGGATGCGTCAAGTGGTGACAAGGTGCAAATTTCGTGGCAGGCGTGGCATTTTGTGACATGTGCTGAAAATTGACGGAAGCCTCGCACGAAACATCAATTTTGAGGTTGCGAATTTTCAGCTTCTAAGGAAAACTCGTAGGAAAACGTCGATTTTGAAGCTGCAAAGTGTCAAAATTAGAGGAAGTCTCGTACGAAATGTTCGTTTTGGTACTCCCACGTGTCTCGTCTCGAGTCTCTGGTTTTCCTGTGGCGTCGCCGTGTCTATGGGGGAAGCTGCAAAACTCGTCCTTTCGTCATGTTGCCAACTGTGAAAATTGGAGGAAGTCTCGTACGAAATGCTGGTTTTTCTGCATCCACGTGTCTTGTCTCGAGCCGTTGGTGTTCCTGTGGTGTCGCCGTGTCTATAGGGGTAGCTGGAAAACTTCTCCTATTCGAATGTGTCCAAGCAGGTTGTCATGTCGTTTTGCGTGGCAGGCGTGGCACTTTGTGACATTCCAACCTGTTTGAGAACCTGTCGGAAATGTCAAAATTGGAGGAAGTCTCGTACGAAATGCTCGTTTTGGTGCTCCCACGTGTCTCGTCTCGAGGCGCTGGTTTTCCTGCGGCGTCGCCGTGTCTATGGGGGAAGCTGGAAAACATCTCCTATTCGAATGTGGCCAAGCAAGTTGTCATGTCGTTTTGCATGGCAGGTGTGGCACTTTGTGACATTCCAACCTGTTTGAGAACGTGTCGAAAATGTCAAAATTGGAGAAAGTCTCGCACAAAATGCTCGTTTTTTTGCAACCACGTGTCTCGTCTCGAGTCTCTGGTTTTCCTGTGGCGTCGCCGTGTCTATGGGGGAAGCTCCGCGCTCCACACTTTACACTCCACACTCCACACTTTACGCTCCACACTCCACACTCCTCACTCCACACTTTACATTCCACACTCCACACTTTACACTCCTCACTTTACACTCCACACTTTACACTCCACACTCCACACTTTACACTCTTGAGTGGTGGAGTCGTGACTCTTGTGGTGCGAGTTGTCATGTTTTATTGACTTGGCTTCGTGCGATTTCGGTTTTGCTCAGCGTCAAGATTTTGATCAACATACAGAGATGCAGATGTCCGAAGCGCTCGATTGAATTCGTTTCCATGGTTGCGTAGTTTGTTGGGAGCGGCTGCAACACATTACCCTGGCAGTCGACAGACATCGAGTCAAGCATGTGTTTTGTGTGGATGTTTGTTTTCAATGCTTTTCATAGTGTGTGTAGAACTTGAAGCGTGGGATTTGCAGCATAGTAGAGCTCTGATTGTTTGTGGTCATGTGCATGAAAGACGAGTGTGTCTGAGTCTGTCTCGTTTGTAAGATGGCGGGTCGCCGACCTGCGCTGCAATGGCGTAAGCTTGCGCGCCAGAACTGCTTGCGAGGGCGCGCAGCGCGGTACGTTGCTGCCGCGGCGCTCTGCCTTGTCGCGGCTTGCGGCTGCTGCTTGGCGACGCTGCTGCCGCTGACTACGCTGCTTGGCGTCCTTGCTGCGGTGCTGCTGCCGAGCTTCCTGCGCTGTGTGCAGCTGAGACATGTTCATGGTTTGCTGCGGCAAGAGGTGTTGCTACTGGAGTTTGTGCAACGCGTGCCGTACTGCTGTGTGGGAATCGACAACCGTGTGGACATTGCAGTGCCTCGGCTTTGTGTCAGACTGGGATGGTTGCGCAGGGGGGCCACTGCTGTGCGGATACAATCTGTGCAAGTTATCTTTTCTTTCATTTTGAGTTGTGTCATAGTGGTCCAGACATGCATGTCCATGTAATTTCCAGCGATTTCAAATGGGACATCATGCTGTTTGATCTTGCTGTTTCTGTTGCATTGTATGCTTTGCCTCTTCACACCAGAAGACCTGAGGTGTTATATGGTCTGGTACTCGTTTTTGCGCGAATGTTGAGATTGCATGCAGAGAGTAATTGGACGTGTCGAAGCTACACGTTCATGTTGCTGGAGAATATCATTTTCAGTGGAATATTTTCTGATCTGGGTTGGACTACGTCGTGGCGTTGTCCTGCGTGGTTCTTACTCTGTTTGCTGTCGTATCATTTCCCGCTGTTTCCCCCAAAAAAGAAGTCGGATGCAGAGAAAGCCGAGCTTGCGCGTGCTGAGCTGGATGAATTTATTGCATTACACGGAAAAGTTCCATCTCAGCATTCTGATCTTCCGGGAAGTAAAGCTTTGTATAAGAAACTCCACAAAGTGAAGCTCCTGCATCTGTTGAAGCATGATTGGCGCCGTGGTGTTTGCGATGATACTTTGAAATTCTATGATTTGCACGGACGCATACCTCGGAGGCAAAATACGACAACGGAGGAGCAGCGAGCCGAAGATGCGCTGGCACAACGCTGGGACCGTCTTCTGGAGCAGAAAGCGTCACTTCCCAATGAATTGTTGCATGAGTATCCACGCATATTTGCTGCCACCAATGTGGAGGTAGATGATGTCCACATGGCTGTATGTGCTGCAGTCTCTGAGTTTTTCAACACAACCCGGCGGTTGCCAAAGCGGCAAGTGGGGGACAGTGACGAGAAGCGAGCAGAGGATGCGCTGGCTCGGCGTTGGGATCGCCTTATGGCTGAGAAGGCATCAGTGAGCGAAGAGTTGCTGTCAAGCTACAGTGCTATCTTTGGTGCGGCCGAGATGGAAGTAGACGATGGTCATCTGGCTGTATGTGTTGCTGTCTCTGAGTTTTTTGACACAACCCGGCGGTTGCCGAAGCGGCAAGTGGGGCACAGCGACGAGAGGCGAGCAGAGGATGCGCTTGCTCGGCGTTGGGATCGCCTTATGGCTGAGAAGGCATCAGTGAGCGAAGAGTTGCTGTCAAGCTACAGTGCTATCTTTGGTGCGGCCGAGATGGAAGTAGATGATGCCCCCCGGGCGGTATGCATTGCAGTCAATGTTTTTTTTCTGGAGGCACAGCGATTGCCAAGGCGGGTCCATGTCGTTACTGATTCGAATCGAGAGGAAGATATTCTTGCTCGGCGCTGGCATCGAGTGGTTCACAGTCAATCATCAGTCGGTCTGGATCTGATGGGCCAATTTGCTGACATTTTCACTGCCAATAGTGAAGCCTGGAATGATGCGGTGGAAAGCGGGTTGGCTACTTTTTTGGATGAGGTGTCAGTGGTCGAACTTTTTCATCGGTGTGTTGCATTGCAAGAAGATGCTGTGCAGAGATACAGCGGATCAGCAGTTCAAGACTTCAGAGCAGCTTGTGTTGCTTGGGTTTTGAAACAATATGAAGTTGGTTGTCAGGAGTTGGAGGGTCTTTCATTGGATGGGCTGGATGATCTGGACGATACCCGTGCATTTCGCGCTGAGCTGCAAAGTTATGTTGCAAGGACTGGTAGCCTGCCTCCTGCTGTTGGTGCCGGTCGCTCAGCGGAAGAGAAACGTTTGCATGCTGGGCTGGTGCATGTTCGCAAGCGCCGCTTTGCTGCAGTGCGACGGGACAGAGCAGGTCGCATCATCGATTATGCGGCTGTTTTGCAAGAGACCCAGCTGGTTGCCTGGGAAGCGGTGCCGGAGTTTGGCCCATTTCTATGGAACCCGCGTCATGCCGCTGTTTTCAATGCAGTGCAACAATGTCTTTTGGATACAGGGGAACTTCCTGCTCGAGGACCGAAGAGCCCGACCGATGCCCTTGCCCAACAAGTTCGCCGCATTAGGCAGAAGACACTCTTACCCGGCAACCAAAGGATGCGTTCTGCCGAACAGCAGTATTGGGAAAAACATTTCCCGGTAGCAACAGATGCAGGAGTTTCAGTTTCTTCAATTTCCAATACAAGGAGCAACTGCTACTCAGATCAGCATGCTGCGATGGCATCTCCCCATGCTCTGCAACAAATTGCTCTAGCTCAGCACGAACGATGTCCGCCTTCTCGGCATCCGATTTTTTCTTTGGCGGAAAGAGTGGATAATAATACGATAACCCCAAGAGCAACAACCACACAGGACACCGCCACGACACGGTCCAACCAATCTTTGACAAAATTCCGTTGCAAACCATCATGACCAACATGAATGTGTATCTTTGACACGTCCAGTCGCTCTCTGCATGCAAGCCCAAAAGTCGTGCAAAAACAATCGTCAGACCAAATAACACCTCAGGTGCCCAGCAAAAACAGGAACCATCCAAGAGAAGAAACAAAATCGTTTCAGACTTGACATCCCACTGGCACGCTGTAACTACAGTAACACTATCCAAGAGAACGAACAAAATCGTTGCAGACTTGACATCCCACTTGCACGCTGTAACTACAGTAACATGTCTATAATCACCACTGTGGCGCTGGTGAAAACGACAACAAACACAGCTTCGATAGACGATCCACTTGCAGCATCTGCATGCGGAGACCAGTATTGATGGAATCAACATGCCCAAAATCACTGCCTTATATAAAGCGAAGGCACTGCAACTTCAACAGGGTTTTCTATTCCCAAGCAGTAGTATGGCGCACGTTGCACGAACTCCAGGAGCAGCACCTCTCGCCGCAGCAAACCATGCAGATGTTTCAGCTGCACACAGCGCAGGAAGCTCGGCAGCAGCACCGCAGCAAGGACGCCGAGGAGCGTAGTTAGCGGCAGCAACAGCGCCAACCAGCAGCCGCAAGCCGCGACAAGCCACAGCGCCGCGGCAGCAACATACCGCGCGGCGCGCCCTCGCAAGCTGTTCTGGCGCGCCAGCTTACGCCATTGCAGCGCAGACCGGCGACCCGGCATCTTTGAAAAAATAAGAAAGCTGAAAACAACTCAACCATGACATCTCACCAACCATTTCACCGTCGCTGTCACACTTCATGCCTGAATCAGCAACACTTCCACACATGCAACATTTGCTTGGATATCTGCTACAAACATTGCAAAACCTCCGTCTTGCACTATCTCTATAACCCCCCTGTCATGAACTGTGACTGCTCGGTCCCCTCTTGCAATTGAACACAGACAAAATGTTTGCTAACGTCGAACTGAAAACACAAAGACCACAGTGCGCCAAATCTGCCTGAGCCCAAACAACAACTTTCCACTTTCAACACATTCGCAGTCTTGCAATATCTTTACAAACACAACTACCACGCGACAGAACATGAGAACCTACTTGGAAACATTCGAAACATTTTGCAGCTCCCCCCATAGACAGGGCGACACCACAAGAAAACGAGAAACATGAGACGAGACATGCGAGCGCAGTAAAACCTCCAATTTGCACAGTTTGAAACATGCCGAAAGGACACGTTTTGCAGCTTCCCCCATAGACACGGCGAGGCCACGGGAAAACCAGAGACTCGAGTGGGAGCACCAAAACGAGCATTTCGTGCGAGACTTCCTCCAATTTTCACACTTTGTAGCTTGCAAATCGATGTTTTCCTACGAGTTTTCCTGAGAACCTCTAAATTTTGTAACCTCAAAATCGATGTTTCGTGCGAGGCTTCCGTCAATTTTCAGCACATGTCATAAAATGCCACGCCTGCCACGGAATTTGCACCTTGTCGCCACTTGACGCAGCCCTACCAATGCGATTTGCGAAAAGCTGTCAACACGACACGTCTAAAGTGCTGCGCCTGCCACGAAAAATAACGATGGACACGTCCAAACTGCTGCGCCTGCCACGAAAACTGCAACATATCTTCTAACAACACGACGACATGCTTGGAAACCGTCGAAAAAGAGAAGTTTCGCAGCTTCCCCCATAGACACGGCGACGCCACAGGAAATCCAACGACTCGAGACGAGACACGTGGATGCAGAAAAACGAGCATTTCGTACGAGACTTCCTCCAATTTTGACATTTTCGACACGTAATCAAACGGGTTGGAGTCTCACAAAGTGCCACGCCTGCCACGCAAAACGAAATGACAAGCTGCTTGGAAACGTTTGAAAAGGAGAGGTTTTGCGGTTTCCCCCATAGACACGGCGAAGCCACAGGAAAACCAGAGACTCGAGACAAGACACGTGCCTGCAGAAAAACGAGCATTTCATACGAGACTTCCTCCAATTTGCACAGTTTGAAACATGCCGAAAGGACATGTTTTGCAGCTTCCCCCATAGACACGGCGAGGCCACGGGAAAACCAGAGACTCGAGTGGGAGCACCAAAACGAGCATTTCGTGCGAGACTTCCTCCAATTTTCACACTTTGTAGCTTGAAAATCGACGTTTTCCTACGAGTTTTCCTAAGAACCTCTAAATTTTGCAACCTCAAAATCGATGTTTCGTGCGAGGCTTCCGTCAATTTTCAGCACATGTCACAAAATGCCACGCCTGCCACGGAATTTGCACCTTGTCGCCACTTGACGCAGCCCTGCCAATGCGATTTGCGAAAAGCAGTCAACACGACACGTCTAAAGTGCTGCGCCTGCCACGAAAAATGACGATGGACACGTCCAAAGTGTTGCGCCTGCCACGAAAACTGCAACACATCTCCTCCAATTTTGACATTTTCGACACGTAATCAAACGGGTTGGAGTCTCACAAAGTGCCACGCCTGCCACGCAAAACGAAATGACAAGCTGCTTGGAAACGTTTGAAAAGGAGAGGTTTTGCGGTTTCCCCCATAGACACGGCGAAGCCACAGGAAAACCAGAGACTCGAGACAAGACACGTGCCTGCAGAAAAACGAGCATTTCATACGAGACTTCCTCCAATTTGCACAGTTTGAAACATGCCGAAAGGACATGTTTTGCAGCTTCCCCCATAGACACGGCGAGGCCACGGGAAAACCAGAGACTCGAGTGGGAGCACCAAAACGAGCATTTCGTGCGAGACTTCCTCCAATTTTCACACTTTGTAGCTTGAAAATCGACGTTTTCCTACGAGTTTTCCTAAGAACCTCTAAATTTTGCAACCTCAAAATCGATGTTTCGTGCGAGGCTTCCGTCAATTTTCAGCACATGTCACAAAATGCCACGCCTGCCACGGAATTTGCACCTTGTCGCCACTTGACGCAGCCCTGCCAATGCGATTTGCGAAAAGCAGTCAACACGACACGTCTAAAGTGCTGCGCCTGCCACGAAAAATGACGATGGACACGTCCAAAGTGTTGCGCCTGCCACGAAAACTGCAACACATCTCTTACAAACGTCGCAAAAGTATTGCGCCTGCCACGCAAAACGACTTTCGACACGTTGCAAAACACGTCTGAATGTCACGAAGTGCCACGCCTGCCACGCGAAACGAAGCAACGACACGTTGGAAACGTCCAAAACGGACCACCTCTGCAGAACTTCCTATAGGCACGGCCATACGGCCCTCACGCGAACGGTTGCGAACGGTTGCGGACGGTTGCGGACGGTTGGGCAACGTCGAGCGAACACACCCTCAACCCCCAGACCCCCAGAGTGAAACGGGAACCCTTGCTACGCATTCGGGAAAAAATAGAGGAATGAGGATTCACCTACACCATTCAGGTTCAGCGCAAGTGTCCTCAGGTCTCAAAGCCGCAAGCACGGCCTTTCGATTCTGGCCACAAGATTCGTGCAGCACCTCTGCATGCGAGGCAATCTCTGAGTCGCTAAAAATGTCAAGATACGTCACGAGCCAAGATCCAAATTTCAACTTCTAGCTTTTAAATGCATTGAAGGATCACCTGCAAGAACTGGATCTGAAGCATTCTAGGGCATAATTGTCATAATACAAAGAAAAACTAATACCAATGACAATGAGAGATATGATCAAAAATGTAGAACTATAACTTAAAACACCATCACAAAACCATAATGACATGGGTGTATGTATATCTCTACACATACATATACATATGTATACACATGATATATGCGCATATATGTGCACGCTGTATTCTAATAAGTTCTAATATAGTACAATATAGTAAAATATAATATAATAATACATAATACATAATTTGGTATTATATAATATAGTTTTTAAAAAAAAAACATGTCTATAATATACAATATAAAGGAATAAAATACAACATGATATAATAAAATATAATATAATATAATAAAATATAATATAACATAATATAATACAACATAATAAATTACAATAAGATATATTATATTATATTATATCATACTATATTTAATAAAGGAAAATAATATATAATATAATATCATATTATAAAATCATATGTTATATAATATTATATAATATATGTTTAATAATATATGTAATATATATATATTTAAAAAAAAGATACAAAATACAGTAAATTTTATAATATAATATAGTACAATATAGTAATATAATCACAATACAATAATACAATAATGTAACATAAAATAATAAAACATAATATAGTATAATACAATATGAAATAATATAATATAATAATATAACATAGTATCATATAATATAATATAATATAGTATAAAAGAATATATTACAATATAATTTAATATAATACAATACAATATATTATAATGTACTATAATATTTAATACAATACAATACAATATAATATAATATAATACAATACAATACATTATGATTGAGTAGAATATCACATAGTATATAATATATATAATGTAATAATAGTGTGTTTATATATACATATATATATATTATTATGAAAAGTGCTTATAATATATATATATAATATATATATATATTATATTATATTATATTATATTATATATTGTATATTGGATATGTTATAATATATATTGTATATTGTATATTATATAGTATATATGTATATTATATTGGATATGTTATAATATAAGTTATATATTGTTTATTATTTATTATATATTATGTATTATATAGTATATATTATGTACTATATTTTTTATATCAGATAGTATATATGTTCTGTGTAATATATATATATATATACAAATATAGATATATATATACATATTTGTGTGTGTGGTATTGTTGTTTATATCAATTCTCATGTTTATCACATCATCATTGATCCAAGTTGCGGCACGCCAATGCAGTCGCTCCTTTTGCCGCTGACGCGTCGATCCAGGCGATCGCCAGCTGGCGGCCGCCGGGCAGCGCAAAAACTCTGCCGACCACTCGCCGGGCGACCGTCGACTTCGCCGAGCCTTTAAGGTGACCTTTGGGCCGACGGCGCGACTTGATGCGACTTGGGGATTGATGGATACATGTTGATTGTAACTGACAATTAATTACAACTGAGAAATAAAAATAACAATAAAATAATATAATGATGATAAGGAACAACACCGTGAGAATGGACGATCATGACTTGATAATGGCGCATACATATCACAAATCAAATCAAGATAAATCAAGTAACAGAGCCATGGCTGACTGCCAGGTTTTCACACTCCAGGTCCAAAAAACCTGCTCCTGGAATCCAGGGATCTCTCCCTGGTGGCACATAGATCTGCTCAAGAAAGCGCCCACTGGATGGCATGTCCAGACAGCTCCCGTCCTGAATCAGTGATCTACCGTGGACGTCAAGGAGTGCATTCCTGGACTCGGACTCTTGTAAAGTTCAGGGCATCTAACCAAATGAATCTACAATAAACGAACGCAGGATCTCGCAGCACGATGTTGGGAATGAAAACAACAGGTTGCTTGGTCTGGGTTGCTTGGATTTGCTTGGTCTGGCTTTACCAAGTGGCAATAGGTACCCAAACGCTGGAATCATCCGATGGCTGGGACTGCAGCCCAGGATTTGTGTGTGGCACCGCAGCCACTGACATCTTGGCTTCGGCGGAGTATTCCACTCCCCACAGGTCGCTGGTGCTAGCGACTCTGATCCAATCGCCATTCCTGCCAGATTTGCGATCGCAACAAACGTTGGTCTGACTGAAAATGGGCTAAAAACACACAATGGCAATGTCCAAAGGGATGGTGATAAAAATGGTGATGATAATGATGATGGTAGTGATTGTGGCCTCTTGGAAGTGTGACGTGGATGAGGATGAGGATGAGGATGAGGATGATGATGATAATGATGATGATGATGGTGATGATGATGAGGAGGAGGACAATTACAGTACCAGTAGTACCGCACAAGGCGGTGGCAGAAGTTTCAAAAATAGGAAAAGCGAATCCACTGATGGACCGAAAGGTGCTTGAGGTCTCCCACTCTTTCTCGCTCTTTCTCTGACTATCTACCTACCTACCTACCTATTATCTTCTATGTACCTATCTATCTATCGATCTATCTCTCTCTCTCTTTCATCTAATTACCTATCTATCTATCTATCTATCTATCCATCCATCCATCCATCCATCTATCTATCTATCCATCTCTCTATCTATCTGTGGAGTGTAGTTGTAGTTGGAGTGTTGTGGAGTGTAGTGTAGCGTAATGTAGTGTAGTGGAGTGTAGGGTAGTGTACTGTAGTGTAATTTAGTGTAGCGTAGTGTAGTGGAGTGTAGTGGAGTGTAGTGGAGTGTAGTGGAGTGTAGTTGTGTAGTTGTAGTTGTATTTGTAGCGTAGTGGAGTGTAGTGTAGTGTAATGTAGTAAAGTGTAGTGGAAGGTAGCGTAGTGTAGTGTAGTGTAATGTAGTGTAGTGTAGTGTAATTTAGTGTAGTGGGGTGTAGTGGGGTGTAGTTGTGTAGTTGTAGTTGTCGGTGTAGTTGTAGTTAGTAGTGTAATGTTAGTAGTGCAGTGGAAGGGTAGTGTATGTAGTATAGTGTAGTGTGTGTAGTGTGGTGTAGTGTAATGTAGTGTAGTGTACTGTAGTGTAGTGTAATGGTGTAGTGGAGTGTAGTTGTGTCTTTCGTTTTCGTGTTGTGGCGTGTCTTTGGTCAGTGGGAGTGTAGTGTAGTGTAAGTTGTAGTGTAATGTAGTGTAAAGTGTAGTGAAGCTAAGCGAAGCGACATCTGAACCTCCAAAAGTGGTCCGAACCCCTGGTGTTTTTAACGTTTTGACTTCGAAATGTGCTTCGCGCCACAACGGCGTGCACTTTTTCGACATCTGAACCTCCAAAAGTGGCACGAACATGTGGTGTTTTGTGCATTTTGATTTCAAACGTGCTTCGCGCCACAACGGCGTGCACTTTTTCGACATCTGAACCTCCGAAAGTGGCGCGAACATGTGGTGTTTTATACATTTTGACTTCAAAATGTGCTTCGCGCCACAACGGCGTGCACTTTTTCGACATCTCAACTTCCAAAAGTGGTCCGAGAATAATGTGCTTTGTACATTTTGACTTCAAAATGTGCTTCGCGCCACAACGGCGTGCACTTTTTCGACATCTCAACTTCCAAAAGTGGTCCGGGCATGGTGTGTTTTGTGCATTTTGACTTCGAAATGTGCTTCGCGCCACAACGGCGTGCACTTTTTCGACATCTCAACTTCCAAAAGTGGTCCGAGAATGGTGTGTTTTGTACGTTTTGACTTCGAAATGTGATTCGCGCCACAACGGCGTGCAATTTTTCATCTCCCATCTGGCCAGCTGGCTCCGCACCCGCCGCTTTAGCGAGCCTACTTTTCGACCCTCCGGAGCCACAATACATTGGAAAAACACAGTGTTTCGCGACTTTCCTACCTTTTCGCGCATCTGCATCTTCTTTCTTCTGACTCTTTCTCTTCTCTGATCTTCTCTCTTCTAATCTTTCTCTTCTCTCTGCCTCTGCCCTGCTCTGCTTTTCATCTGTCCATATTGTCGGAAGTTTGACTTCTAAACGATGATGATGATGATGATGATGATGATGATGATGATGAGAACCATGACGATGACGATGATAATGAGGAGGAGGAGGAGGAGAAGGAGGAGGAGAAGGAGGAGGAGGAGGAGAATGATGACGACGATGGTGATGATGATGGTGGTGATGGTGATGGTGATGGTGATGGGTGGGTGGAAAAAAAAATTTGTGTGATCATGATTATGATTATGGTGATTATGATGATGATGATTAGGAGGATGATAACTTACAGTATGATGATGATGATGATGAGAACCATGACGATGACGATGATGATGAGGAGGAGGAGAAGGATAGATTCGGATGAGTATTTCAATAATATTACATGATTATGATTGGCTTTTGACTTGTCTTCTGCTTCTTGATGATCCCTGCAGGCCCTGAGCCTGCGCATGGCGATTGCGCATTGGTCGTCTTCTGTCTCTGTTTCTGTGCTTGCTGTTTTCCCTTGCTTCTGCTTCTTCTCTTTACCTTGCGCGTCTTCCTTGGCGCCTTCGTCTGTCTTCGGTGCGGCGACTTTTTGCTTACTTCTTTCTTCTTCGCCCATTCTCCTTCTGCAATTCGCCCTTTTCAGGCGCTGCGGCTGCCGCTGGTGGGACTGGTGCCATGCTGCGCTGCGCTAGGCTTGCCGGCGGCGCACGGCTGCGGCTCCTAGCGGCTGCCTAGCTGCTAGCTTGCGTTCTTCATCTGCATCCTCTGCTTCTCGTCGCCCCCCTGCCCTGCCGCTTCTCCCTGCTGCTTCTGCCTGCCCTCCTTCTGTCTTGCTGTGGCTGGGCTACATGTCGGCTGCGGCCCTGCGGCTGCGGCTGACGGTCTGTCGGCTGCGCTGGTGCTGGTGCTAGGTGCTGGTGCTGTGCTGCTGCTTCGCTGGGATGATGATGATGAGGAGGAGGATTACAGTATGATGATGATGATGATGATGATGATGATGAGAACCATGACGATGACGATGATGATGATGAGGAGGAGGAGGAGTAGGAGGAGGAGGAGGAGAATGATGACGATGATGATGATGGTGATGGTGATGGTGATGGTGATGGTGATGGTGATGGTGATGATGATGATGATGATGGTGATGATGATGATGATGGTGGTGATGATGATGATGATGGTGATGATGATGATGATGGTGATGATGGTGATGATGGTGATGATGGTGATGATGATGATGGTGGTGATGATGATGGTGATGATGATGATGATGGTGGTGGTGGTGATGATGATGATGATGATGATGATGATGATGATGATGATGGTGATGATGATGATGGTGATGATGATGATGATGATGATGATGATGATGATGATGAACCCTTGGATGTTGGATTTAGGGTGGGCCTTTTTCAGACAAATCCAAATGGCTGATTCGGGCCTTTCTGCTGCGATGAGAACCTCCCCGGCTGAGAATTCTCCGAACTGCTGGCCCTCGCTGGAAGGCAAGAGGCGGCTCTTGACGGGGTCCAGCGATTTCACTCGCCACACTTCCTAGGTCCCAAGCTGCCACAAAGGTGTGAAATGGATGGATACGGATGGATGGTCATGGATCATCTAGTGCATTCAAATGATGATTCCGGCATCACCCCTACTGTTTCAACTGGGCCGCTATTTCGATAGCCTGAGCCGCTCACAAGGCCAATATCCTCTGCACGTGCGCGCTCCGCTTGTTTGAAGCGATGGTCTGTTTCCAGCTGTCGCATAGCCTGCAGCGTTGCTGCACCGAAAATGCTGCAAGCATCACAGGCTGCTGCATGCTGTCACTCAAACCACCACTGAATCACACAGCCAACCACGGTGATGTGGCAAGCCGGCCACACCTTTTCATCAGGATCAGCACCCAAGAGGTAGTCCTGACACCCCAAAAGTGGCCCAAGGCGACAGCTTCGCGGCTGCTCCAGTCCTGCAGGGGTTCCAAGTCGCCGTCGCCGTGTGAAAGCCAAGCACCAGCTGAGAAAGGCTCTTCACTGTGCTCCTGGGTCGAGTCACTGTGCCATGATGGATGGCTCATAACAAATGGAAAGATATGGAAAGTATATAGACGGCTCATCTGTTATATATCATTAAACAGCTATATTATGAGCTAATATATATAATATGGCCGTACACAGTCATCAAAATTGGCTCATTAAACATATTAAACGGCTCGATATGTCGATATTCAATGATATTCATCTAATTGTGGAACATTGTGGAACCCTTATATACATGAAAGATCATCCAAGTGGATGTCACAAGTGTGGACTGGTGCTTGTGGCCGGCCTGCTGAACCTGCCAGTATTTGCGCAGCATCTGTGGCCCTTTCCTGAGATTCAAGGATCCGCTGGGTTGGAACTCAAATGAACGAAGAAACACAACGACAGACACGACAGACACGACAGCTAGTTGCTGAGCTGAGTATCTGCAGCATTTCTTCTGGCACCTTCTTGCCACCCAGGTTGTTCAATCGAGCTAGGAGACCTGAGTGCAGTGCATCCTATCACGTCTGGATGATCCAGCAACAGCCTCACGGCAGCGAGCCTGTGGATACCAACACCTTCTCGGCCAACTGTCGGCATTCCTCATCTGAACCCTGCCACGCCGCATCACAATGCATGAAGAGATTGCAACCAGCTGCGAGCCCACCTGCAGCTTCAACTGAAGCACAAGGAAACTCACCCAGGTATCCAAAATTTCTCACATTGGGTATCGGGAATGTCGGAATGACAGGTAAAAAACATCGCACATATATCGCAGCCTTCTGCACAATGCTCTTCGTATGCTTGCACGCTTGGAAATGCAAGCACTTGTGGCGCCGGCTCGTCAGACAGCTCCGCCACAGCAGCCTGGACGCAGAAGTTGGATTTGTTTACCCAGCCCTGGGGCTGAGTCAGGGTCAACGGGTCAACGGGTCAACCGTGTGCAGCGTGCCTGCCAATCAGCAAAGGTCTGTAGCACCAGAAGGGTGACATCGTCCGGAGAAGCATAAGCTGTGTCAATCAAACAAATCTGCTGGATTTCCTAGGAGTTGAGTAGCTGGTGACAGCGACACATACTGCAAATACTTTGGCGATAGTTCCGGTTCAGTCTCGATGAAGAAATGACAAGCATTTCAAGATATTTCAAGGAAGGCAAGCAATCCTCCAGCTCAACTTGGCCCAGAATCGACTCCTTCGGCGCGAATCCGCTCCAAGATTTCACCTCAGTTCTGCTGGGCATGTCTCCCATGAATCCTAAGAATAGATGATCAGATCTGATCAAATCTGATCAAATCTCATCTCGCCAAAGCACAGTCCCACAGCAAATGTCCACTTCCCAGGGAGGCGTACCGCAGTCCATCCCTCCACCAGGCAACGTCCTGCAGGCTACCCGTCTCAACTGTGCTCACACCAAGACTGCCACAAGTGGGTCCAACAGATTGGAGGGAAAAATTGAGGAAATGTTTAAACACGTTTAAACCCTGAATTTTGGGGTGCCCTTTGGTGAAACCCAAGTGGAGCACCAGGGTCCTTCTTTGACTTCCGAATTGTGCGAGTGATGAAGGTCCTGAACCTCTGTCGTACTTCTGGGTAATTTAGGCGGTGCGCTCCGCAACGGGCATCACCACATTCACTCAAGACATGGATTGGAGACTCTGGCTCTGCATGTCGTACCCGGCAACAGGGGTCATTGGCAAACTTGATCGGAGCTTGCCCTCGAAGTCCCTGAGATATTCTCCAAACGTTGCGTGGATGCATACTCGATGCATCGCCCTTCAATTCTACGTACCTTGGCTGTCTTGTAACCCAGCAGGGTTGAACATGAGCTGGGCTCATAGTATATACAGTAAGTTACAGGAATCAGTAATCACTGCAAAAAGTATGAAACAGCAATTCCTGGTTGTGAAGCAATGCGGGAACAAAACCCTTAGGCGACGACCTGCACAACGTCGCAATGTGAGGGGCGTCTGCCGTCGCCATGTCAGGTTGAAAGCCATGGGTGGCCAGTTGATCCTGGTGGCAACCCTTCAAGGCTTGGCCGTACCCATGCTGAATCTGAGGCGTTGGATTAGCAGCTTAGCATGTTCTACAATTGTTCCAGTGTCAGTCCTTTTGTTCCTGGCTAAGACTATTGAAAAGTTGCTGGAACTGTTCCAAGCTCATTCCAGCAAACTGCTTCTGCCATGGCTCCTGCCAACCAGCTCCAGACTGTTTAACCAACATGACCGGTAGCACAGCTTCACACAAAAAGATACGGAGAGCATCCAAAAAAAAAATCAAAAAGCATCATTAACACATCACTGTCATCACCGCATCGCTCCTCAAAGGTCTCCTCTTCCAATTCCTCCAAATTCAAAGTCGGAGCTTCGCGAGCTGCTTCAGCTTGGGGCTCTGGCCGCGGATTCGCTGAGAAACCACGGACGCCTCGCGACATCGACCTCGACCAAAATGTTCACATCCAAGGCTTGGCAGCACACAAAACACCAACACAACCTCAGAGTTTTGATATGTTTTGCCTTGTTTTGCTGCTAGTGCTACTTACTGGCTAATCTCTCTCTCTCTCAGACCCTCTGCATCCTGATTTCATTTTTGGAACTCAACTGTCGGTCACTGTCGGTCCATGTGCTGGACCTTGCCACATTTGCAAAAATGCGAGTTGTCTGACAAGCAGCTCCGAAGCTGGTGCACTGGATGCAAGTACAGAGGCACTTGACTCTGAGGTTGGGCATGGCACGCAGCTCCCAAAAACGTTTGTAATTTGTGATGCAGTTTGTCTGAAATGAATCTCTCTGTTTGGCTAGTGGGAGGGGCCACTATGGCAAAACTGCCCAGCTGGCACTCACCTTCGTTCAAGCCATTTCGAACCAATAATTCAAAGAGGAAAAACTGGAGTTCCCACATGTTTCCATGATTTCCATGAGATTCCAGAAGCATGTAGTCACAATGTAGTCTAAGTATGTCTAAGTCATGGCAAGTGGGTGCTTTGCTCCACACGGGGCGTGCAGGTCCAAGAACTTGGCCAAATATTGCGCCATGAAATCTCGAGGCAGGACACAGAAGCGTGCAAGGCATCTCAAATCAGCCGGGTACACCCTGGGATCTGCAGCTCCATCCAACAACTTCAGAACGGTTTCGGTGTGACCATTGAACACCGCATGGTGCAAAGCAGTCCTGCCAGGACATACTTCCAAGATTTTTCCATGTCAGCAGCTCCGTTGTCTGATGACATCTGATGACCTTGAGATACCTTGAGTCATTCAGAAATGCGTCAGATGTATTCAGGCTTCAGATTCAGTCCAGCCATCTCCATCCCTGGCATCTTGGTTAGCTCGCGCTCCAAGGATTAAAGGGACCAAATCCTGACAGAGGTGGCCCAAGTGGCCCAAGTGGCCCAAGTGGCCCAAGTGGCCCAAGTCTTGAATGTCAATTTGTAATTTCGATGAATTTCGTCTCCAAGATGCTTCCTGATTTCTAACTTGTCATCTCTTGTCTCCATGAGTCTTGATCCGCAGCGTCTCCACTCCAATGCTGAGGAATGCTCCGACAAGCCCTTGCGGGCAGCCACATGAAGTGCTGTTCGTCCACGGCTGTCAGGCAGGTCAGCCTGCAGTCTGTTCAAACGGCCAGCTCTATGAATCTTGCAGCAAGTAAAATGAATAACTATAGTCCAGTGTTGCCAAGAATTGCTCAGAATGTGATTGAATCACAAACATTCCAACCTGGAGGACAGAACGGGCGGTCTTGTGAGGAAGCCTCCACTCCAGCAAATCAACAGGTCTGACTTATGGTGTTCTATTGACGGTGTAGCTACTATAACTACTATAGTCCTTAGTAGTCCTGCGTCGGCATCAGCCCCAACCTGACCAAGCATTCCACATAGTCATGATTGTTCCAAAACCTGAGTTGTCCAACTCTCCAGAGGTCAAGATCCTCCCGTCCCCCATGAAAAAGTGCATGTAACGATAAGACAAACAAACACAAGAAAAAAAGAACTAAAAATGCATAGATCATCATAGATCATCATAGATCCGATACATTCAACCAGGACAATCCAGGACATTTTGGAGACTTAGGGGGAATGGGTTAGAAACCCCACACGAGGGGATCCAAGGGCTCTAGAGGCTCCAAACACAGCAGCGGTCAGCGGTGTCCAGCCACGATCATTCCTGGCCACGATCAGCACTCGTGTTGGATGCTGCTTCGACATGGCCATGGAAAATCACCATGAACATATAAAATAAGTAAATCATCAATAATGATAATAATGTTCATAATATCTGAATAGATGGATCAGTTAATGTTTCACCATGCATGTCAATTGATAATATTATATATATATGTGTGTGTGTGTCAATAAATAGCCTATTTTCCATAGTAAACTGTAAAGTTGCCAAAGGGCAACAGGGGGTTGTCCAAAAAAAACATGAAGGCATACGGCATAGCCCAAAAAATCGATCAACATGATGATTCAATGATGATCAAACAATAGCAACCATCTATATTTTGGGGGTAACCCTAATTTCAAACAAATCACATACAATATATAAAGTGCATATGTGCATGTGTATACATACATACATATATATATATACATATATATGTGTGTGTGTGTGCGTGCGTGTGTACACACAATCACCATGAGATATGAAATCTGCCGTTGTCCTTTGACTCCATTCCTTGCCAGGTTCACACATTTCAGAGGCAGTCCTGAAGTTGGGATTGGCCCCACGGCTGATCAGTTCACGCACCTCCTGGCCAGCGAACGCCAACGCTGGAAGATTCACCACCTTGATACCAGTAATACTATGCCCATTTGAATAGGGATATGATAGGGAATATATATATATATTACATATATATATATAACATTAAGCAAAGAACACATTAATCTGATACACGGCTCTCTTTCTTCATCTTTCTTCTGCTTCTTGATGCACCTCTTCATCTGCATTTATCTGTATTACCTACCCTCTCTATACCAGTTTTGCTATGTTTTCCCTATGATCACATGCTATTGATGATATGGGGTGGTCCTTAAATGGTGCTACCCCAATAGCTGAATGGTTTGTTTCAGTTTATTTCATGGAAAACCCATGGAAAATCTATCATCATCTATCATCTATAAATAAATGATTTCTATCCCCATAACTTAGGGGGATACCCCTAAGTAATGGATGATTTGCGGGTACCCCAATGACTTGGGAAACCGCCCTTGAGACGCCTTGGAGGTCAACTCGGCCGCCTTGTCAATCAGCTGAGCTGACACGACCTCCTGGACAAACAGGAGCCATGATGGATAGGTAGGTAGATAAGTAGCTAAGTAGTTAAAATTATACAGTAATGTATAGTAATGTATAGTAATGTATATAGTTGGAGCCAAATAGAAAACTGTTGAAACACATCTCACTGCCCGCTTGATCAGCGCCATTGTCCTCGTTCTCAGCCCCAGTTTCAACTAAATCATTCAGCAGAAGTAAGCGAACCACCTGCAGCGAAAGCTCAACTTTCGGTTTGTCGCAGTCGCTGTCAGATCTCCAAAGCTCCAAGAAACGGCTTCGCCGCTTCGCCTGCAGCTTTCGCGCTCGAGCTGCAACTAACACTGGAGAATCCTGCCAGCATGGAAGGATCGGTTTCGTGGCAAGTATACAACATTATACAACGTCCTAATTTTCAAATGCTGCACATCTCAAAAAGGGTGCAGTCCAAATCTTGTCCAGCCGCACAAGCGCTACCGCCATGTTCCAGGAGCCTGACAAGATCAAAACATGAAAAAACGGGAAGTTTGAGAGAAAAAAGAGCACCACCAAGCCATCCTGCTAAGTCCTAGAGTCTTCGTATCCTCAGGATATCAAGTAGGGGTGCCCGTGCTCCACATCCACATGCCCATCATTGATCATGACTCCATTCTAAAATGCCCAGCTTTCTTATCTGTACTTTCGGGTTTTCCCCTCTCTTCCCATTGGATTCAACCGCCTTGCCATGCAGTGGGCATCGCATTTGGTGGCCGCATGCCAGAGCACTGTCTGCCCATGACCTCAGGCAAGAAGCAGCTGGGATTCATGGCGCTATGTATATAAATATAATTACGGGGTATATTTATTAATGGTGTATCTATATGGCATGAACTGTATGTCTATATATATATATTATATTATATATATTATATATTATATATTATATATTATATATTATATATTATATATTATATATACATATATTATATATATATTATATGTGTGTGTATACGTATAATATATGTATAAGTGTGTGTGTGTGTGCATCATTCTCCTGAAGCAAACTGAGCTGAGGCAGCAACGATCTCCATAGTTTGGATCGGCAAATTTCTTCAGAAGGCCCTGTTGCAAAAAAAAATCAAAAACCACAATGTCCAAAATAAACAAAAAATAACAAAACGTGTGTGTGTGTGTGATTACATGTGATTACACTTCTGGGGTCCATCCTGGTTCGCCCAAGGATCACAAGTTGGAGCTGCCCGTTCCTCGATGATTTCTTCTTGGTCTCGGCCAAGATGCTGAGCACATGACACCTCTGAGCATGGTGCTCACCAAGCCCAGCAGC